CATACATGGCACATATTTGCCAGCCCTGGAGTTTTAAAATATTTACCTGAGGATAGTAGAAATATGGAACAAATTAAGAGATGTGAAATTGATTTTTTAAGCCAAGTTGTATCTAATGTTACTATCACTTTTATTAGTTTCATTATTAAAGATAGACTATTAGAAGAGAAATGAAAGTAGTTTTCCTACACCTTTTGTACATAAAACAAATTCTCTTGTATGTCCTCAGAAGCAAGCATTTTATCAGTGGCTCTCTAGGAACAAAAACTTTGTTATATGTGATAAGTGAATGAAGGTGGGCTGAATGGGGTAGATTTCAAAGTGGGAGAAAGTTATGCTCTGGCAGGCATAAGACAGACATGCCACAGGAAGCAAGAGGTAAGGCCTTAGAACACTCCTTACATGGTTCCACGTTGGCAGCCACTCACTTTGCCTAGGCATAGGGCCACAAGGCTGTTTGCATGTCTGTTTTCTGGACATTAAGTTTTGTCTACCCATACACAATGAGGAGATCAATGCAATTAGGCGAAAAACTTAATTTAGAACAAGCAAAAGGAGAAAGGGGGAAAAAAGAAAAAGTCTTGCTTTCAATGAAATGCAAACTTTATTTTCTGTAAAGTGTGACAAAGACATCTTTAGAAAAGACACCTCAGTGTTTTCAGTGGAGGGTTGAGTGTTTGCCTGATGTGTTGTGAGGAATAATGACAAAACCAGAAAGACATACCTAGTGCCTTACACACATAGTACTGGATACTGTCAAGTATGTGTTATATTATTTAATCAATACCAGCTCTGTGATATGGGATCTAGGGCCTGGAGGTGTCCTGTGTCAATTTTTAATGGCCAGTAATTGACAAAGCCCAGCCTTAGAATCTGAGGTCATGATTCAAAGTGTGTGGAAAAACCAAGAAGTTTTATAATGCTGGCAACTCCATGTCCAAACTCTCCTATGAATAGTTCTCTGATTATTTCTCATTGCCACTGACTTGGTATAATGCAAGCTATTCAGCAATGTGATACAGATAGATATTTCCTTTTCAAAACATTGCACAAATGCATGATTTCCTCCCTCTGTCCACCATGTAGGAGAAGTAGGAAAAGAACAAGGTAATAGGAATTTACCTCCGAGCCATAAAGCCTTCCTACCCTTCCAGTAACCACCAGTGGGAGCTCCTAGTTACTAAGGAGACCATAACAGACTCCATTAAATTCAAGTACAACACTTAGGTTGCCTGGCTAGATAATGCCAAAAAAGCAAAGGAAAATATTATCATTGCTGAAATCATTTGATTGTCAATGACTAACAGAAAACATGTCGGCAAATTGAAATTTTAGAAATGCCCAAAGGACTGGGTTAGAGCTATGAATTAATAGCATGCAGCAGTTCTAACTGGAAAAAAGAAGGGAAACAAAGAAAAGACAAAGATATTAAACTAATTTAAAACTTATCTCAATGACCAACAGATCCCAACAGAAACCTTATGCAACCAATCCAGGTCCTTTATTCAATTTCTAATTTAAATTTAAATTTCCCTTCCCTTTCCTTTATAGCTAAATATTAAAGTTGGTACCTTGTTCATCACATTATCCTTGAATTCTGAGGGACCCACAGGCCTTGGCCTTCTTATCCAACATTGCACAAATACCAGAATTATCTTTAAGGTATTCCTGAAAACTGCACCCATCTTACAAAACTGTGAGGGCTAAGGTGCCCAGTCATGTATGTGCTGTGCCCCTCAGGCGCTGGAGGAAGCCCAAGTTGGAAAGAGTTGGGGATATGCCGGACCTCTAGTTACCTCTTGACCCAGGATCCAAAGGTCACTCCGGGCCTTCCTGAAGATGCTAATCCAGTCTCTGCTTGATGCTCCCAGAGCAGCTGGCCTTCGCCAGGACCCATCTTCTCTTGTTACAGACTCAGCTCTGATGTTTGGAGGGTGCTTTCTCACGCTGTGCCAAAATCTGCTCCTCCAAGTTTTCTACCCAGTGCTTCCCATGGTGTCTCTATGATAATACTGGGTGACTCAACTTCCTCTCCTCCTGAATAGCCCCTTAGATAAGGGCAGACAATTGTCATGACTCCCCTGTGTACTGTCATCGCCAAGCTAAACATCCTCAGTTTCTTTCTCAGATCATGAGGAAAATCTACAGATATTATAATAATAACAGGCAGAACATATATTCACCACAAGAAAAAGACAGGAAAATAAGAAATTTTTATTTTCCAATATGAATCAGAATTTTTTTTTAAAAAAAGAATCTATTTGTCTTTCTCCACCTGGCTTATTTCACTGAGCATAATACCCTCTAGATCCATCCGTGTTGTTACAAATGGCAAGATTTATTTTCTTTTTATGGCTAAATAATATTCTATTGATTCTGAAACATCTTTCTAGGTTGACAGATAGTAACTGTACTAGAGGGGGTGAGGATTTAATAATATGCGTAATTGCTGAACCACTCACTGTGCTGTATGTTTGAAACCAGTGTAAGATTGCATATCAATGATACTTCAGAAAATAAAAAAGTGAAGGAAACAAAAAATAATAATTTTTTAACTGAAAAGCTGAAATGTTTCACTTATATTGAGAAGCACTATGTTTTTCCACCAAGTTCCTTTGCTCTATCCACCAAGCCATGCTGTCAAAACAGAAGTGAGCTTGGTAAGACCTTTTCTTCATGATGCCATGTTAGCTCCTAGTGGTCACCAGCAATTCTCACCAAGTTGCACTTGAGTTTTTGTTTATTTATTATCAGTGCTTACTTTGAGAGAAGTTTCTAGAAAAATAATTACTTGCATATGAATAGTTGTGACATGATTTCAGAATTTGAATACACACCATCTATTAAGAATTAAGGGAGAAGCACTGTAAGGAAACCAAATCTTTGGTTCTTTGTCCTCCTAAATTTTATAATGAAAAATTCCAAAATAAAGAAAATATGAAATAATTTTACAGTAAATACCCACACACTTAGTAACCAGGTGCTACAATTAACATTTTCCTATCTTTGATTTGTCACACTCCATCATTTTCACTATCCATGCATCAACCGGTCTTACTTTTTGACACGTATCAGTGTGAGCTGGACTCATCGGTACACCTAATCCCTAGCACTTCAGCATGCATATCATTATCTTTTGAGGTTACTTTTAAGTACCACTCTCTTCTGAGTCCCTCTTGCCATTCTTTCCCTCATCCCCTCCATTTCCTCAGTTTTCATTTCTGCTTCATTCCTTCCACTTACTATTCCCAAAGTTCTAAGTGATAAAAGGGAAGTGTAAAAAGACCTGAGCATGGAGTAATCTTGAAGTAGCATTTGGAAAGGTCACTGGCGACCACACAGGGCCTCACAAGTGTTGTCCTGCAGGCCAAGGATGGGGGCATGCATGGGCAAGTTGGCACAAACCAATACAAGAGAGGGAGGTTTACATGAGCACGTCAACTTGAAGATTTACCGTGAGAAATGCAGCCGTCCAATACCCAGCCATGAATATTTCTTGATCAGCTCAGTGTCTCCCTGAACTAATCGATATGACAGGCCAAACTGCACAGGTTTTTGGTGAAGAGATACTCAGAGGAAAGGAATTAGTTATAAGGTCTGAGCGGCACGGAGCCTCATCAGCGTTGTTTCAGCCGCTGGCCAGCACAGTGCCTGACACCGTAGAGGTGCTTCGTAGTCAGTAGTGATGAATGAGTACACGAACACTGCCTACCACACTAGAACAAATGCTGCATAGACAGGCACTTGTGCCGTGGGTCTGGGCACCGCTCACCTGGACTGTGCTGGGTGAACCATGCCAGATTTTACCCCCCTCCAAGTTCCTTTAAAGAACTTCCACGGCTACCATCCTCACTTCACAAATGCATGCTCTTTCAGCCACGTGTATGCCATTCATTAAGCTTTTCTGAAGCCCTAACCTTCCTGCTTCAGTTTGGAAAGACCACCTGTCTTTAAATGGGAAGTCTGCATCTAATCCCATCTTTGATGAACTGATTTTACCAGCTTTACTCTCAAAAAGAAGGGAGGGATTCCCTGCTACCTGAGTTTACTCCAGTCAAAGACCGGGGAAAACCATCTTCTTTGATGAATGGGAATCACTGCTTTCCCTGTCTTGAGGTTCACGTGTGACATGAAATGTTAGTCATTTATTTTCTGGAATTCCTAATCACCAGCCCACTCAAGGTGAGCTCGTCATCGCAAAAAGTAGGAGCACAAAAGGGATGATACAGCACTTTTCACAGAAGCTTCTCCGTAGTTGTAGAGGAAATCCAATGTTGATGAATCGAATTCATTTTGAAATCCGTAAGAGGAGCTTTCTGGTCATAGAGTCTCAAGGTGAATCCTTTGGTTATGTAACAACTTCCTTATATAGTTCTTTCAAAGGTTTAGATGTTGTAAATCAGATTATTTTATAACAAGGAATCCCTGTCCTCTGTTGCTTACCCATTCTTCCCCCTGACTTTACCTCTACAGACACTGTAGTAAATACCTGTAAACATCAGTATTTCTTGGTAGCATCATGCCGTTTGGAACTCATTTGAATGTAAACCATGATGGTGTCAGGGTGAAAAGAGAAGCAGAATCAAGGCTCTGACTATTTCATGTAAATCTACATATACATTGGAAAAACATAAGATCCTCTTAGGCATGGGCACCTAGGTGGTAAAATGCCAACTCTCAGGGAGAGTTCTCTAATTGCCTCTATTATAAGCAACTAAAAGATAAGGTTCAAATCCAGACAAAAACCCTCCAAGAGGGTAAAAGATACTGTGATGTAGAGTGGGCTTTTTTAGTGCGGATTTGAATATTCCAGTAGGAGCACATGCACTCAGGTTTCACAGACCATAGGCAGGACTCAGAAAAACTGGGAGCTTTTTATTGAAGCTGAGCTCCAAAGCCCATGTTTGTACAGACTTCATTCCTTCTTCTTCTCCCTTTAATGCATCTGTCTTTAGTAACAGAAATTCTGGTTTTTCTTTTACGAAATGGAAGCCCAAAAGGAAACTGAGAAAGCTACAAACTGATTCAGCAATAGCTGAGCAAGAGGCTGCCATCACAGTTCTGGAACTCAAGGACAGGACCAAGACTCTAAGTGAAGGGAAGCCCGCCCCTAGAGGTCAGTATTACCACGTGACAGTGGCACACTGGCCCATCCTCCTAAGTGACAGTACAGTTATTGGCATCAAAACAAGAGGCAGGGCCATGGTGCCAGGCAGCATCCTGGTCCCGCAGCAGCATGAGGGCCATCATGCGACCTCATTCTGCAGGAAGAGAGATGGTACACAAATTACCAGCCCCAGGCTGGGTTCACACTTACCCTAAGGCAGGCAGAGAATAAGCACATCCTTAAAGGAAGGTTTTGGGTGCTGAAGAGCTTGACTGTAACAGATCTGATATATGTCCTTACACTGGGGGGGCAGTGAGAGAAGGTCAGGGCCTATGAAGGAAAACCTGAGACCCCCAGGGATGGGGCTCTGAAGTGGCTGAGGAGGAGAACTTGTCTAAAAGTATAGACAGGCTCATAGGCTAACACTGGCACAGGAAAGGGAAGAAATTAGCCATTTAACCACAGGCCAAGTGAGTCAGAAACATGAAGGGAAGGCTGGTTGGGATGATATCTGGGTGGTTCACAATAATTTTAATGAATGCTATGGTTTGGATTTTTTTTTTGAAGTCTTCTCTAAGAGTTCACAATAAATACACAATGAGGAGAAAAAAAATCAACATTAGCAACAATATTAACCGAATTAACACTTAATACTTTAGTACTATGTGCAAGGCATTTTGCTGAGTACTTCACAGGTATTGAATTCTCTGAATAACCTCTGAAATAAGTACGTTTATGGGTCCCACAAGAAGATGCAAAGGCTTAGAGCTGTTGATTACTTTGCCCAGGTTAGATGTGTGTGAGCAACACCTGGACAGCCAGCCCCCACCCCGCCCCAGGGGGTCTGTGCCGCTCAGATAGACTAAGGCTGTTTCATCTCTGCCATGAAGCAACAATGTCAGACCTCCTTCTGCCTCGTGGATCTCTTACAAAACTGTGGTTCTCTGGGTAAATGTTTTCCTTTGATGTGTGGCACCCTTGTAATGCCAGGAATAAGCCCTTGTTCCTACACTGGCTTTCCCTTTTACTCATAAGTAAGTCTGGAAAAAGAGGAGGATGGTGGAAGTACATGGAAGAGGAAGCAGGTGAGGTGGTGGCTTCAGAAAGAAGACACATTGGCATCCTGACCACACAGTAAAGCTTTTAATCTAAGCTTGGTTTTAATATAGTTCCCTGGGGTCAAAATGGCACGTAGCACAGCCACCTTAAAACACATGCTGAAAGTCAGTTTGCTTTTCCCTGTCTATCAAACAACATAAAGGGCAGTGTATGAAGTTGCTTTTACCACCATGAAACCTGAAAGAATCCTCTAAAGAATATTTAAAGGTCTTTATTCTAAGGAATCATCGCCAGATTTCAAGTTAGTTTTTGCATAAAAAGAAGCTGGTAACTGTATAGCGCATTGGAGAAAGTTCTCCAACTCACTTGAGAGAAGCTTTCAACTTCTCAAATGTATTTTGAATCTAGTGAAAAAAAAATATTGCAAGGTATCTAATTCTTATTACTCTAACTTTTTACAAAAATAATATCACTTGCTAATGACAATAGTGTCCCTTTGATATTTTGGTAAGTCAAAATTAAAATAATATTGAGTTACCAGGACTTCAATGGTTTGGGAGAGGGTAGAAAACATTAAAGCCCACATTTCCTTCTATGCCCATTTTTTCTGTATATTTCTGTTAAAAAAGAAAGAAAGAAACCTACCAGTACAGGAAACAAAACCAAACCCTAATGTGTTACGAACAGATACGATTTTAAATAAAGCCAGGTATTCCAGGGTCAGTTATGGATGAAAGCAGTGGCTTCCTTTTGATTCTACATGTTGCTTCTCTTGTTTGGTGGAGAAATTCAGTCCACGGATTGACATACAGTGCTAAGGTCTCAAATCAAAAAGGTCTTACTCTCTCCCGTGGGTCCCAAGCAGCCTCACCCTGAACAAGAACACAGAGACTACCGAGGTTATTGTGGCCCCAAGTAGTATTAGCTCTCATTCTCAGAGAGTTTGATCACCAGGCCCTACCTACCTCTCAGTTCACTTGAAAGCCAGGTCTGAAAAGATGTCAGTAACTTTAACACACAAGGAACCCCACTTAGCCATTAAAACAATTAGTGCTGACCCACCTCCCACACACATTTCTCCACCAGAACAGCACCCCTCCCCTAGTTACCTTATGTCATTTTATGAAATGTTTATTTTCAGTTCTCAGACCTCTGTTTGCAAAGGACAGATGCCCCAGTCATAACAGCTTAAGGAAAAAGGGTGATTTATTGGCACAAGTGTGAATAAAATAAGAAAGGGTATGCCATTAGCTTTAGAGTCCAATGGATTCAGGGTCTCAGATACCATTAAGACACTGTGAGTGTCTCATGTCTGCTCTTCTCTTCATTGAGACGTCATTCTTTCTAGCAGGATGTCAGAAGAGACTAGCAACATGGCCATAAGCAGTTATAGACTGTTCTTCCAGAAAAGAAAGCACTTTCCACCAGCTCCAGATGGAAAAAGAACAAGAAAGAACTCTGGCTTTGGTTTGGCACCCATGCGGAAACATGAACTGATCCTTGTGGCCAGGGCTGGGAAACTATGGATGGATAAGCTTCAGTCTTACCCATGCCACTGGGGGGCAGGAGGGAAGTAAGGGTGGTGAAGGAAAATGCTCTGACTGGTAGCTTCCACCAGAAGCCCAGGGCTGGACTGGGAGAAGAGAGCACTTCCTCAGCAGAAGAGATATCCCATTACAGGACAGGAAGAGTACAACCACCCTATCCAATAGACTCTCAAGTGAAAACATCACATAATGCTCCATGAGACTCCCATCCATGAGTTTGCACTTTTCAAGTAAATTCTTCTTGATGAACAAAAGACCATGAATCCAAGAAACAGAAGTCCACTGGTATAAGTTCAGACTGTAATAGATACAGAGTGAGGCACTTCGGGAACAGAGTTCCCTTCCAGTCCCCATCAAGTGACAGCACGGTCACCTACTCTAAAGGCCTGCCCCATTGTAACCGCTGAAATTGCAAGAGGGGAGAAAAAGTGTCAGTTCTAAGGGACCATGTTACTTGACATGGCATAAAGCTATTTCTCTATTCCAGTGACAAACTTGATGCCTACAGTTCTAACAAGCAGATAAATGAGATTAATGAGATATTTCCAAATAAATTAGAACTTTTTACCCAAATGTACACTTTTTTTCCTTGTTTGTTTCATTTTCTAAGTAAGTCTGTATATATTAGGTTGCTGCTCAGCTTTTCTGATCCCAGGGATGTTCTAGATGAGTAGGAATACATTTAAACATATTCAAATTGATGAAACAGTAAGCTACCAAACTTTTTTTTTTTTTTATGTAAACACAGTAAACTATTTCATTGGCTAGGTACTTAAATTACCTCCAAGGAAATTAATGATTTAAGTCAATGAAAAGTTCAACAGAAAAGAAAAACACCTTTATTATAAAACTGGCACAGCAGGAAACTTACTTACAGCCTGAGTGTTGTTTGTTGATTTTACTTTGTGTAAATAATCACAGTCCAGGGTGGATTACTTCAATCATTTCCACAGACTGTACTTGAAGGGCTCGCAGTTTTACTTACTAGCAGAATTCAGTGAAATGCCTGTTGCACCCCATGAGAGCTTGAGTCCACCTTTTGGTGAACCTTAGTATGCAGGAACCTAAGGTTAAATTTCAAAAATAACTGCTTCCTTTGGCCTATGAGGACACAGTTCTCCTGCAATAGACCTTATTGACTAAGCCCTGTGGTTGGCACATGAGCATTAAGTCACTTGTATGTCATGAGCATTAAGTTGCAAAGCTCCTATTTTTTTACCAGAACCTCAGGGACCTGGTTTATAAATTTCGAGCTAGCATACAATGCACATCTCTGGATTTCTTCTCCTTCTGATTCTTTCCTCTTAATATGCACAGCTATTATACCAAATAAGGTATCTAGCCCCCACATGCATGTTCCCACTGTCCCCGTGAAAGCCATGTCACCTTTAAGTCATCTCTTGGTCTGACACTCATGAAGAGGACACTGGCAGCTGGCGCAGGTACACCCCAGGCAAGCTCATCCAGGAGTCAGTGTCTAAATACAGCCAGTCTCACTTCTGAGGGAGGCTTGTAATAGGATTCAGTGATTTTCAGTGACACAGGCCTGTTTTTAAATGCTGTCCCATTAATGTTAAGAATCAGGCTATTGTTCTACATTCTTAAGTCAGGAGATCTACCTCTTTGCCAACACCCCAGAGCCAACCCTAATCAACATTTTAAGGAGTATCTATTACCCTGATGTCCACTCCTAGGCCCTGAGGCCAAACTTCCTCTCCCTATGTTTACCTCTCCTCCTCCAAACTGCCTCAGAATCAAAGTTCCTATTGCAACTAGCTTTCCTTTCACACTGAGAACTAGCTAAAACAGGGATTTGAGGGGAATGAAACTTTTCTGGAATTGGATAGTGACAATGGTTGCACATCAATTATTAATATAAAAAAACCTGAGTTATATATTTGAACAGGGCGACTTTTATGTTATGTGAATTTTAGAAAAAAGAAACTGATTAAACAATCCTTACAAAGATGTAATGACTAACATACCCTGTCAAGTGTATTTGAATAAGTGCTTTGGGCCTAAATAAAATCTTGACTTGGTAGAAATCCAAGCATGTAGTGAGAGGTCATATTAATATTTATTGGAATAAGTTCAGTCTTGAACAGCTGTCCGTTTGTGTCTAGGGATTTTAAACAATGCCATCCTCTTCTACGTTCTCTCAGCCCAGCTCCGTGAAAGGTTGTTGTTTCTCAGACTGGGAACCAATTCGACAAATAGTTCTACACACAACCTTCTTTCACCACTGAACAGACATTTATTTTACTAGTCTACCTAGAAGTTTCTAAGAAACAAGAAAAACAAAAAGTGGACATCCACCCCTCACCTGCCACACACACACATTATTATCCCAACATTTGCAGAGAAGTGTTTTCTTTTAATCACTCCTACTGAATCTTCAGATAC